TGCGGCTAAGATTTATTAAAACAAAATTTAATAATTGGTAAATGATAACCAAACTCTGTTTCAGAGCGCTAATCATTTGAAGTATCCTCATTTGTTTTGGATACAGTTTTGTTTAACTAAGCACTGTAATATTTTAGTTGTATTATTAATGCTAATTTTGCTTTTTGAAGTATTGTTTGAAAAATTCCAGTTTTTACCACCATCAGTTGTCTATAAGTTAGACAGTAAGTGGAATAATTGACTTGTTTCTTGACATGAAGAAAACAGAGGATACTCGTATACACACCAAACTCAGTTATGAAATTTGTCAACGACCTGACACAATTTGAACAACCTCTTCGTGTCATTTCGAAACCTTAACGCTTGTTCATAGTATTTTCCAAGATTCTTTAAAACCCGCCTGTATTTGGCCTGCCTGACCTCAGAGAACGGGTTTGGACGGTTAATATCTAATAAGATAAGCAGTTCTTATTGCAATTGTTTTTATAATCAAAGCTTTAAAAATGTAAAAGCTCCGAGACAATGCGGCGCAAAGTGCCAATTGAAATATGCATTTAAAAATATTTTTGACGAATTATCGGCAAAACGAATGAAGGTTTTCGCGACTGATGTTACCATGATATTACTATCCAAAGATATTAAATATCCAAATGCAAGTCCAAGACTAAAACTAGAAACTAGCAAACAAAAGATTTGCAGGCTTGCAGCAATGAAATATTCTTATCTTCTACTTCTAATCTATTTTAGTGCTACAAAAAGGTATTCAGGTTTAAATGTAAAATCAATCCGGCATCAAAGGTTTATCCATAATTTGCAGATTTGTGATGATTATCTTATTACAGAAAGCATAAAACTACGAATTCTTCTTGGATGACCGTTGAACCTGAAAATAATTTTTTCTAAAATAAAAAAATTCCGGTTAAGCCTTGAGAGTATTTACTGTTCGTGTTTGCGAGGAAACGACATATAAATATCTAATAATGTGGTCGCTCTAATCTAGAAAATTCAATAATATGGTTTACAATTTACTCAAATACTTGACAAATATATACACACACGCCATACATTCATAGCAAATAACAAAAAGTAAAAGTTAAAAGCAAAGCAAATTTTGATAAAAAACTGATTACTCGCAACCAAAACTATTCTTCCAATCTCTATAGCTTTGCAACCTGATGTCGCACACCTTTGATATTTCACACTGTAAATACTGCTCGCCTTAACATTATGGAATCCTAACAAAACACTTTTTATTTTGACTTTAACTCTAATCTGTACATAGCTAGATACATGACATAAAAATTTCACTAAAAGGGGATCGTTTATTTGGCGTACCGTCCCCTTTTGTCTTATATACTATCAGTATTTGTACAGCTTGCTCTAGCTGATAAAAAGTCGGCCCGGTTTTCATGTCATTGAGTTATATATACATAAATTGCTATTCCATTTTTGACTCAGTAACAATGTGTTGAGATAAATTATAGAAATGTACACAAAACTATTTCCCAGCCAGAACAAGCTTACTATGTATTATGCATGGCGCAAACATGATTTCTAAATTATACTACCAGAGCTGATCATTTTATCATTTTATGAAGCCTTGTTTCTTTAAAATAATTCCTAGGGAAGACAAATATCCTCGCATACGAGTAGATATTTTTATTTAGTTTTGCACGAAAGGATTTCTCCTCCAGCCCCTCCAACCTATATCTGTGTGCTGTAAAACATAATAGAGAACCTATAATTACGAATTGATAATAAATCATGATAGAACAAGGGAGGAAATACCCAGTCTATAGAAACCTAGCTATAGAGGCGTTACAGGATTTATAATATACCTAATCTAACCCTAAATCATACTTTTGTTAAGAAACTGTTAAACTATATGTAAGATTAAAGAACAGGATATTTTTTGCTAAAATAAATAAAAGATTCGGCTAGTCGATGGGTTTCCAAATACGTGTAAAATATTAATTAAATGGGTCCCAGTTGTTGAAGAGAACCAAAACTTGATAAATGTAAATGTTTGTAAACCTACACTATTATGGTTGACGAATTGATTAATGACAAGAGGATACATTATTAATATTTCCCTTCGTAATTATGCAACACATTGTAAACATGCATAATATTATGAAAAACAACTCACCAAGCATTTTAATGTAGATTAAAAGGGAAACACTGAAATAAAAATTATTATGTTTAACGACACAAATAGATAAAAATAGAGACTAAATAAAAAACCTAATATTTGTGATGAACTGTTTTCAATCACTAAAATCTTACTATATAACATACAAACTAACACGATACACATTTTTTTTTGGTTTATTTTAGTACATTATTTATTGTTCTGATCAATATACAATTATCAGATCCGTGAAACAAAGGAATTGAGTCTTTGCCACAAACTCAAATTTTCTAATCCCTATAACTTTGAAAAATATTGGCGTAAGCCTTTGGTATTTCAAACTTTGATAATTTAATCTATGGGAATTTATAGTTTGAAATATCTAAGATCTACGACATTGGGTCAAAAAGATATAAAGATATTGGGATTTGAAAATCAGAGTTTTTGGCAAAGACTCAATTCCTTTTCCAAATTTTCGGTTTATTTAACCACCTTCAGGGCATCTTTAACTCGACAAAAGATTAACTTTATGTTTTCGATAAACGTTTCTAGGAATATCCATAAATAAACCTAGACAGTAGTTAAAGGGAGGGAGGAATATTTTATGAGGTTAAACCTTCTTCTTCATCTCCTGGAATTAGTATAGTTCGAAGTTCTCAGAATCCCTCCGTTCTACGTTTTTAATTTAAATTATATTTTAAAACTATATTTTAAATCTTAAAATTAAAAAATTGTTTAAAGGGACTGTAAAGGAAAAATGAAAGGGGGGTATAGGCTGAAAGCTAATCACTTTAGCTCTTGATCGCGACCCATGAAAGTCATATCTGATGTTCATGTCTCGAGAAATTGATATAAAACTGTGTCAAATATATACGAAAATTAATACATATAAATTTTGTATAAAAGTAGTGGGTTTAAACAGATCATATTCAGCAAATAAGCAACCAATCTGAAAACGATGATATCCCAGAGAAAGCTAATTGTAAATTAGGTTTACTTTTATATTTGTTATTTCTATTTTCAATAGATTTCATTCATAATATTATTTTTACGTCCGTATTACTTGACCAGAAATTCCACCAATGGCAGTGCAGTAAAGTGGTCACGTGATACAGGCGGAGACACGTGACCAGTATACTGCTCTGCCATTCGTGATAGTTCTGGTCACGTGATTTAAGTTTCAGATTTTTAAAATTTTACATATACGAATTTTCGTATAATTTTAACACAGTTTTATATCAGTTAAGAAACTTATTACAGAAACTCTTATTTATAAGGAAACACTTTTATTTTAAATATCATGAAAGGGTGGAAATAAAAATAACTAAACTGATATAAAGCACTAAAATACAAACACATTATACGTTTTACATTATATTGATTTTTTAAATAAAATGAACAATAATCTTATACTCTCTTTAGTGAAATTTATGATATTCTAAAGATTCTGAGGTTGTCTAATATTTAATAAAAAGAGTTTAAGAGTATATTAAAGTTATTACCCTGAGCACTTCTAGTTTAAATATTTAATGAGAGATGGTCTCGTGTCGATTCAAAAATCAAATAGTTTTAGTTCTTACATAATTCCAGAAGTTGATTTACCGTGTAGTTGCTTCAACTTGTTCAGAACTAAGGGNGGGGGGGGGGATTATGGGCACAATTTTATTATCATTTTGTCGATTACAGTTTTTAAACTAATGGTAGAAAAAAGCACATTGAATTATTTTGAAAGATATTACAAACCTTATCATACCTTTCATAGCCAAAAAACTATCAAATAGGTTCTTTTTATTCCAATTAATATTGAACCAATTGAAATAGTGGACATTTTGAGTTTAAAAATAAACAAAAAAATAAAATATTTTCTTTAAAGTCGTTAATGCTCTTAAGCTCTTCAAATACATTTCAAAAATAAAATCAACAATCAATAGGACATTTTCTCAATATTGCTTTCTTTAATAATATCCATGTCATAAATTGATTGTAATTTATAAAATGTATTTAATAATTTTTCTGCTTTTCTGCATGTTATTATGATATCGTGGATTTTAATTTTTCTTATAAAAAGCTATCATGTTTTCATCTGTTTGCAATTATAAAACTTGATTCAATATTTTAACTTTTAAAGAAAAATATCATCTTTTTGCAATTATAAAACTTGATTTAATTTTTTAAGTTTTAAAGAAAAAAATAAATTTCTGCATCACAGTCACAGGAGATGGGGTCGAGTGCAGGATACAAAGCTTCCAGGACTTTGACAACAAACTTTTGGTTTTGTAAACTTTTTAGAAACACATCACGAAACTGTGATATTATTAAAACTTAATGCATAAATTGGCCTGTTCATATGCACCACCAAGTATATCTCTTTGACGTAAAATTACAAATGTTATCATAAAGATTTGGAAATCGAATATATTGAAGACTTTCAAATATCTGGTATATTTTGATTGTAAACATCAGACATGGGGGGAGGAAACTTACAAAATATGAATGAATCGCAAGAAAGAGAAATATAATTGTCAATATTTACGTTCATGAACTGTGGAGTTAAGGCGTAGTTTCAAGTGACGCTTCTTTTATAATTCTGCATTGTCCGATTCACAACGGTAACATTTAACCCTTTGTCTGGGCAAAAATTAGAAAGGTATGGTCGTTTTTCTATCTGGAAACCAGAACTGCAATTATAAATAATTAGTTTTAAAATAGTATAACAGAAATAACTCATAGATAAAGGGACAAATCCATCATTTTTGTTCAGTCAAAGATGTTTAAAGGGTTCCATTGTGAATAGGGATGACGCTTTATAAATGCTGAGTCACTTAAAATTACATTGACAGTTCCTTTAAAATTGGCCATATTTTATTGCTGTCTATTGTTTATTTCAGATACTATGAATATCTAAGCTAGATATATAATGCTGCACTAAAGGATTGAAAGATGAATGTCAAAACTGGATTTAAAATAATAATCCTTGCTCTTTCCTGCTGTAAGTAAAATTTGTATTTTTTAAATTGTTTGTTTCTTTTTTTGCTGCAGATGTTTTAAAAGCAGGCGCGTATGTATCTTGATTTACATGAAAAACTCTCACATCAAAATTTTCTAACTTGTTAAGGAGAACTAAATTGTTAAGTACTAGGCTTTTAGGGCGGTCTTCTATTTCAACTTTTAATTTTGGCTTTATTTGTAAACATTTTCAAAATTTTACAAAAATAAACAACTTTTAAAAACAAATTTTTGAAATTTGGATCACTCAGAAACTTCCCATACAAAATTTGGGTCCGATCGGTTCAGTCGCTTTGACGTTTATTGGATACAAACGAAGAAACAGAAAGAGAGACAGACAGACAAGGAAAGTATATAAATAGAAGTAATAAACACTAAACAGTGATTTCTCAAGCTAGATCTTTATACAGAAATACTCCGATCTGTGTTATGGTTTGAATAAGATAAAACTAGTTCTGAGCAGAAAAAACTGAGCACAAACCTTATCGCCCTATCCTTAGCTCAATATTTCCGTGCATCCTTTCATCTCATCTAGGTTGTTTGAATGGACTCCGATTGCTGGAGCTAGATGTGCCAACACACAAGGTTGTCGGAGAAAGTGCTAAACTAACCTGCAGGTATGTTAACTAACCTGCAGGTATATAAACTAAACTGTAGATATATAAACTAACCTTCAGGTATATAAACTAACCTGCAGGTATATAAACTAACCTTTAGGTATATAAACTAACCTGCAGGTATATAAACTAACCTGCAGGTATATAAACTAACCTGCAGGTATATAAACTAGCCTGCAGGTATATAAACTAACCTGCAGGTAAATAAACTAACCAGCAGGTATATAAACTAAACTGCAGGTATATAAACTAACCTGCAGGTATATAAACTAACCTGCAGGTATATAAACTAACCTTCAGGTAGAAAACTAACCTGCAGGTATATAAACTAACCTTCAGGTATATAAACTAACCTTCAGGTATATAAACTAAACTGCAGGTATATAAACTAACCTGCAGGTATATAAACTAACCTTCAGGTATATAAACTAAATTGCAGGTATATAAACTAACCTTTAGGTATATAAACTAACCTGCAGGTATATAAACTAACCTTCAGGTATATAAACTAACCTTCAGGTATATAAACTATATAAACTAACCTTCAGGTAGAAAACTAACCTGCAGGTATATAAACTAACCTTCAGGTATATAAACTAACCTTCAGGTATGTAAACTAAACTGCAGGTATATAAACTAACCTGCAGGTATATAAACTAACCTTCAGGTATATAAACTAACCTGCAGGTATATAAACTAACCTGCAGGTATATAAACTAGCCTGCAGGTATATAAACTAACCTGCAGGTAAATAAACTAACCAGCAGGTATATAAACTAAACTGCAGGTATATAAACTAAACTACAGGTATATAAACTAACCTGCAGGTATATAAACTAACCTTTAGTCAGGTATATAAACTGAACTGCAGGTATAGTATCTAGATATCTAGGTTAAATTGTCTAGATTTAGATATCAATGTTTAATTATCTAGGTTTGAAATGGAAGGAGCAGCTCTTTACAGTGTAAAATGGTATAGAAATGAACAGGAACATATCAACCACATAATATCTCAAAATCTAAGAAAAAAATACATTGATACCCTTATATGTATGGGATAGGAAACGCCATTTAAGCAATCAAATGGGTATTTGATGGTGTTTTCAAGCAAATCGTTTTACCAGCAGACTAGACATTACCTATTTAAATTGGCGTGTTCAATGTTCATTGGACTATCTAAAAGCTAGAAACAAATCGTAAAGGCTGAAAGCGTGAATTAAATCTATGCAATGGGATAAAAAATAGTAAAGTAAAGGAAATGTATGCTCGATCATAAAACTGAATTAACAAATTTAAATGAGTATTTCTGCCGCCAAAAGTGTAGAAAAAGACTTAATTTTTTATCAAATTTTCATTTCAGAACGAAATTTCAACTGGAATATAAAAACTCATCTTTTTTAGCTGAAATTTTCATTTGAACCCATTTGATAAATTTTATCAATATATCAAAGATAGTATGTTTATGATCGAGTGTAAGTATTAATAAACACAATTTCTCAGGTTCAAAAAGATTGCCATCCTTGAAGATAAGAGAGGAGGAAGGGGGCACATTACATTCTCATTTCTATACAATAAACTTTCTCTTTACTCCCCTAACTTTGTTAAACATGAGGGGAAAGTTCAGTTTTAACTTTTCGTTATTAAACTTTTAGGATGTCTTACTTTTCCCATCTTGGTCCTGCACCACACTTTAAAAATGTATTTTTGTAAAATTTTTAAACTTTAGTAAGAAATATCAGATTTTTTCGGATGCAAATATTATAAATCCGATGAAGTCTTTGACTAAAACTCAAGTCAACTTAAACTTTGCTGATGGGTTAAACCTTTGATTTTTCAAACTTCAATTATATGATCTAACAGAATTCATATCTAAGATCTACGACATAGGGTTTCAATTAGTATTAGGGATATGAAAATCAGAGTTTGTAACAAAGACTCAAATTCTTTATATTAATTTCAAACTGATATTTGATAGTTAACGTTCAGTTAGATATTTTATTGTTTGTTTACTTTATTATCTTCTAAAATAGCTGGGACAAATTCGAATAGAATGTATTATCTGCTAAAATCAATTAAATTTCAGGGTGGCCCAAAAAAATAGGGATTAGGGGTTCAGCCCTTTTATTCGCTTTAAAAGACTTAAAAATGTGCCCTTGCATATCGTTCATAATTTTAGAACATTTTGTTGTTTGATGCTTTCGTTTGGCGTAAAACTATGCCGAATGTTAGAAAACCGCCCTTTTAACTAAACAATAATGTTTTTTTTTTATTATTTTATTAAAATTTTATATTTATGGCCAGAAACAACATCTTGGTTCCAAAATCCAGAAAAAAAATCTAAGCGGGTTCAGATTAATATAATTGATTTTTTTATTTCTTAAGCAATATTGGTTAGCTGAAGTTAACGGAGAGATTTTCGAATATTCGACATGGTTTAACACCAAATGGAAGGATCAGACGACAAAACGTTAATTAAATCCCTTCTAAACTTAAAAACTATGCACTGCAGTGGCGTACCCCTTGGCGGTTAATTTGCCCTTTAAAAATCTTTAAAGAGTTGGTGTTTGAAATGAAATACCCAGGAGTTCTACAGGTTTGTTCCCAATGACCGGCCAAAATTACAAATCTTCCCTCAAATCGGTATAAAAGTAGAGGTGGGTGTTTTTTTCTTTTTATCTAAAACTTTGAACCTTTTTGCATTGGAAATTCTGTATCTGATGGAATATATAATCTTAGAAAGTTTGTATCTTTATTTACTTTAAAACGCGGTAAAACTACGGGAAAAGTAAAACCAAAAAAATTTGAAATTTAAAAATCGAGTTTAAAACCCGGAGTGTGGGTAGGAATTGAACCTTCAACTCACTCAAAGGATGCCTTCATATTATTCATAAATTTTCAATAACAATACACTGCATATTATCAGAAGGAGACGGTCAAATTTATGCGAAATTACTGGTACAACTTTGGAACCTCGTAGCTTATCTAGTTTGGATTTTACGCACAAGTATGAAAAAAGAAAATTTATTTGGTTATATATTAGAAATCGAAAACGTTTTTGCTATTCTCAATACCTCTTCAATAAGTGGAGTTATGATAGAAAACTTATAATCTAGAGATCCCGATCCTCTCGCCAACATGTTTATCTTGATGATCTTCAAATAGAGGCAACAGGAACCTACAGGTATAGGGTACACTTTAGGTCACCGTGATTTAATGGTCTCAAGCTTTCAAGCCAAAATCGATGAGAATTTTGCAAATTACATCCTTAAAAACCAAAGTTAACAACGAATGCATTATATTGTAGATGTAAAGGAATTCAAAACAGCATAAGCATGAGTTAGAGCAGTAAAACTAAAGCCGAAGGCGTTGCGACTCTTCAAGGTCGACCCAGTCTTAAAAATTGATAAGTGCAAGCTGAATCCATGTGAGGTCCGACACCTGATTGTACGGCATCTTAGTTGTTCAGAGGGTCATTTAAACACATTTATATCTTAAATTTGTGACGTTAATCTTAAGACGAGTCATTTCCCCCTCGACGAGACGGTTTAACCTTGGACACTGGCGTCCAGTCGCTCTAGCCAAGCGCTATAAAAGTTTTGCTTCAGGGTTTTGCCCTTAGAGTCCAGATTTAATTAATAGAAAGTAGTAGTTGAACTATAATGCCATAGAAGAGCTCGACCTTAGGTTTAATAGTCAAAGTCAGCCTTAACCATTCGAATTTGTCCTCACCCACTTGATGTAGATTTTTCCTCGTTTTCATTTGATACATTTTTTATGATAAATGATTTGGACTAAAAATGTATTGGATGGATTTAGATTTTCTTCCAACACTGGCCTCACATGATTGGCTTTATTTAGTTTCATGTGTTTAAGATTCCAATCAACATAAAATTGTTCCTCTTTATCAATGAACGAACGGTCTACGGTCGCGATTCAGTGAAGAAGGTCTGAATCACTATAGTTTCAGAGAAGTAAATATTTCCATTTACTGATAGCGTCGATTGAAGGATTCATAACTCTGATTGGATAATGAGATAGATAGAAAGATAGATGATACCGCCATACTATTTCTATTGGTTCAGAATAGACAACAAACATCTCAATGAACCATAATTGGATCAAGCGCTAATGGACTCAGCATACAGGAGTGGAATTAAACTTTTGAATAGACGGATCTAATTTAAATAGGTTAAATGAATAAAACTCAATTCACTCAATTTAATTCAAAGAAGGTAAAATGAGTTATAATCTCTTAATATATTAAATATATTAAATATATTTCTAAACGAAAATGACTAAAATGGGAAATAAAACAAATATCCTCTACATTCAAAGACGCACAAAGTGTACGACATACAACGCAGTAAAATACAGTATAAGAAGTATTATTTTGATATAATTGTGTAGATGCGAAGTTAGCGCAGAAGCTCCAAGTTTCAGAACCAAGCATGCTGAACAGGCAGATAATTTATATTCAAGAATATTCTCAAGTGGTTGAAAATCTTTATTTTTAGTATGATTTTGTTATATTTTGAAATTTTCTTAATTAATTGAAAACGAAAAACAAAATTCCTTTTATTGCCTGAAAAAAGCTGAAAGTTTTCTTAATTCACAAAAACAATTTTGAGAACTGATATCATAATATTTAAAATCAACGAATGCAATCTCAATATTTAGATGAAAATACTGTCATTTGTTCTGATGAATAATTAACAATATAAGAAAAATATCAATAATCTGGTTTGACAGGCAATGATAGTTGTTCAGCCTCCTAAACATAATGAAATCAAGGTAGGTAGAATATCAATCAACACAAGCTATTTTGTTGACAAGTTTTCCCTTGAGCTTTTTCACAAAATGAAGACGAAATTTATCCTATTTATAATGTCAATTTCTATTTATATTTTTTAAATTTTGATTGTTGTTTAGGGCATGAAAGAAAGATATTATGTAGCAGACTCTGCTAATTTAACCTGTTACTCCAGAGGCTCTAGTCCTCCGGCATCACTTATTTGGAAAATTAACGGTATTCAGGTAAAAGGGTTTAGCAAAGTTCTGTTAGAAAATTAACGGTATTCAGGTATAAGGGTTCAGCAAAGTTCTGTTAGGAAATTAACGGTATTCAGGTATAAGGGTTCAGTAAAGTTCTGTTAGAAAATTAACGGTATTCAGGTAAAAGGGTTTAGCAAAGTTCTGTTAGAAAATTAACGGTATTCAGGTATAAGGGTTCAGCAAAGTTCTGTTAGAAAATTAAGGGTATTCAGGTAAAAGGGTTTAGCAAAGTTCCGTTAGAAAATTAACAAAACATTCCGTTTTTGATTGAAAACAAAAGGTTATTTGTTGGGCATATTTGTTAATTAAACTAACTGCAGTTAACGAACGAACAAAAAAAGTACAAAACCTGCTCAGTGAACTGTGCTACTTTCAAGTTCTTTTATTCAAAGATAAATATGTATATAGTTAATATTTTATAATATTTTATTTTTTTTAGAAAACGTTTTCAACGGATTTCGAAAATTTTGAGTGTTGTGCGGCATTCTTAGATAGTTGCGCAATAAGTTCAAAAGCTCAAAACTCCATTGTTCATGATTGTAGGTTTATGATTATGATATCGGCATTGCTGGGGAGTATGGGCCCCATGGAGATACTTCAAGAAGAGAGGTCAATAAAGAACATTTATTTAAGAACATATTCCAATTTTTGTATTTTGATTCAATTATTTTTCTTTATCAAAAACTATGAACTATCGACCAGGTATAAAAGAAAACCAAAAATCATTTGTAAAAAGCACAAGCAGACTTCTTAACTTCATTTGTTTAAAGAAAAATGAGTAATATATTAAATTTTTAACTGGCTTTTTCATGTTAATTATATCCAAATCTCAAGTCAGTTTTGATTGTGATTTGAATTGACCAATTTAATGAATAACGAAAAGTAGTAGTTGAACTACGTAGTTTAACCACTCTCTTTGTCCAAATTGACGAGAAATGGTTTGAATTATTTTTACGAACTTCAACTTAGTGTACGCGGTTCAACTAACTCTCATTTAATTTGGTCCTTGGTTTAGGAGCCCACTAGAGTTCGCCAGATGATAGAGAAGGATTACATAAATACTATTGAAGTTGTAGAACAACAGGTGAATATATAATTTAAATTTTTTACAGACGTTTGTGATTTTGTTATTAACACTTTTATATATTTTCAAACAATCACACTATGTGATTACAAACAGCTGGACTTATTGATGAGTTCTTTCTTCGAAATGTGTCAAAGGAATTGAATCATTGCCACAAATTCAAATTTTCTAATACCTTTGTCTTTGCAACGTGATGGTGTAGAGTGTAAACCTTTCATATTTCAAATTTAGATTATTTGATCTAACTGGATCCATAGTTTGAAATATCTAGTGTCTTTGACATTTGGTTGTAAAGACATTGGAATTGGAAAATCAAAATTTTTTGCCAGAGAATCAATTTCTTTTTTAGAAATACAGGCAAATCCGTTATACTATTGGATTCTATTGGAGATTAACATGTCTCTCCAAATATATTAGATTGATGAATGAAGATTATTTTTGTGAAAGGAAAAATGATAAAGTTTTAAAATGTTATTAATGTGAAAACAGGTTTTTATTTTAGTGATTTATATTTGTCAAAGTCTATTACATTCAACGAGTGTGGGTTCACACCCTTTGTTAATGATGAATGTCAAAGTCTACTAAAGTCAACGAGTATGGGTTCACACCCTTTGCTAATGGCAGATGTCAAGTCTACTGCAGTCAACGAGAATATATTTCTACTTTTGCTGAATCAATATGCACTTATAAGTTCAATGAATGCATTCCTGAAAATGTTTTGATTATTTAAGTGCTGACTAATTATCTACTTGTAAATGCACAATGAATGTATATTTAGTTGAGATTTCAATATGTATACTTTGTTTCAACAAAAACGATCAAACAAAATTATCAAACACTATATTTTCAATTGGCTCATAATAAATTTTCTTTTGTGTTTTATTTTAAGCTGAACCATCATACATTATTATTTTGTATTTTGTGTTTGAAAATAAATACTATATAACTATAATACACCATAATTCGAGTTTTAGTGTTTTTAAAAATTAAGAACGGTTTAGAACCACCCCCCCCCCTCATTGGAATAATCCTGTTTACACCCCTGTTTTAGAGACACTCTTTAAATAAACCTTATATGCAAACAGTGAAAATCTTGTGTAACAGGAACTACTCGCCAGAAACTTTAATTCTTATATCTTTGCAATCTGATGGTGTAAGCTAAATTCATATTTCTAAGAGAAAATGCTTAAAAAGTTAAAATTTGGGACAAGAAAAATATGTTACACACATATTATTTATTTATTTAAATTAAAATATGATTTAATAAGTTTTCTCTTTAGGAGGCTGTTGTTGCTCATACAAGAGTTTGGTTAGAGAAGGATGGTGAACACAACCTGGATACTTCAGCCAGCAACCTTATATTCAGGGTTCAAGATGTACACAGGCATCAAGGTCTGTACAATTAGACCTTAGATATATACCTTTGTTATTAAAAATGCATACCCATCTATGTATATATATATATATATATAAATATATATATAATATATATACAGGGTGTCCCAGAAAAAACTGTGCAGTAGGGGTATTAGTAAACTGAGGAAACAATTTTCGTTCAATTTTTACGATCAAGGTGTCATTCGAAAGCTCTATGTTTCTGTTATTACATGATGTAAAAATTTTCCTTCTAGTTCTCATTCTTTTTTGTTACAACCAATTTTTTGAGCGTAAGTCAAAAATCGATTTCCCGGATTTTTCAATTTTTCGATTTTTCACGTTTCATTTTCATTCGTTCATAGAGTACCGAAAAATTTAAAGATTTTCGAAATTTTTTAAAATCATAAACCCATAACGATTTCGGCAAATTCTCAAAAAAAATTTTAAAAACATTATTCTAAATCTTTTAAAATTAAGTTTCTGACAATCCACAACAATTATATCCAACCGTTATGGATCTTTAACAACTGAAACATGAGAAACCTCTGTATATAGTGTAGAATCTCGTTCTATCTGCGTGGTTATCTAGATATCATTCTTTTCCCTTTAACTTACATTTTTTAAGAGTTTGAAAGAAAGAATTCATTATTTATTTAAGCAGAAGAATACTCAATATCTATATTCCATACTTACTCTATATGTCTATATCATAGGGCAGATTATTGACAAATTGATTTAGTAAATTTTCAAATCAATATTGGTAAATTTCCTTTGAATACTGATATCCTCCATCGGACATTTTATCATTCTTAATTCTCAGTCCGTATTTCCCACCTTCATGCATCATCTTTCTTTTTACCTAGTAACCTTCTTGACGGTTATCCCCCGCCCTATATAGACATTTCCCCCTCCACCTTCCTCATATTACCTTCCACCCTTCACTTTTCTCCCTTTACCTTCCACCCTTCACCTTCCTCCCTTTCACCTTCCTCCCTTTACCTTCCTCCCTTTACCTTCTTCCCTTCACCTTCCTCCCTTCACCTTCCTCCCTTCACCTTCCTCCCTTCTTCCTCCCTTCACCTTCTTCCCTGCACCCTCCTCAATCCACCTCCCTTCTTTCACCTTCCTTCCTCCTTTTATCAATGCCATTTGAACTAAACCTTAATTCTCCTGTTAAGGTTTGAAGGTTGAGTGTATTGCAAGTATTGGTCCTGTATATTGGCATACAACCCAAGAGCTGCTTCCTGTCTCTGCTAGAGAAAGAGAAATTGTAATATTTGGAAACTCAGCTCATAACACAGGTAAATATTAGGTTTAGTATGAATCTAATCACTTACCTCAAACTCTAATTTTCCAATCACTAAATTTTAACCTGATGGTTTAAACCTTTGATATTCTAAACTTTATCTTTTTGATCTAGCATAACTCAAAGGTTAAAATATCTACGAAATCAGGTTACAAAGATGTAAATAATAGAATATTATTATTATTATAAAGATTTATTCACACACAAAGATACAAATACATATATTCCATATATAAATGGTGTAGTTTGAATTTGTTTAAACATATTTTTTTAATATATAGTTTTACAAAAGAAAAAAGAAAAATATGCAAAATTATGCAGTACGAGGGTGATAATCCCCTCCTTTAAAGAAAAAAAAAATATGCAAAATTATGCAGTACGAGGGTGATAATCACCTTCTTTAAAAGAAAATGAAAAATATGCAAAATTATGCAGTACAAGGGTGATAATCCCCTTCTTTAAAGAAAAAAGAGAGAGATGTTTTATTCAATATGCATATATGATAGGAAAAAAAGAGAATCTTAGTCCGTAGGAACTTTTACAATATACAGGGTTACCCATAAAGTTTTTTTTTGCCGTTCTGAGCCCGCGATTTAAAAATATGGGAAAATACGGCTCGGGTCTAAGCTGTCGTTGGGCCTTATTTACGGCTTGAGCTTTTGGATTCAAGCTGCATCTCATTTTCCATCGAGGTTGAGTTAAAAAAAACCGGTTTAATATTCTATTTGGCGGATTTTCATGGTAGGAATTGTCGCATTCCGGGTTTTTTCTTAGAACAAGACTCAACATTGCGCCTTATTCTCCACTAAAACCAAGCAAGGTCGGTTTTATTTTCATTGGGCTGAACTCCTTAAGTCGAGCCGAAGATCTTGCAGCATTCCATCACGTGACACAAGCTGTCGTTAGAGTTGGGTCGAAGATTGGGTCTTAAAGTCGGGTTTAAGGAATTACGACTCGAGCCGAAGCTTTCAAATCGTGGGCTCTGGATGGTCGTTAAAATCCAGTACGTGAAGTTTGTATTGTATTATTTGGTTTAACTGCATTGAGAGATCATCCTTCAACAAAGAGCTTTGATTTCTTTCCCCGTAAAATTGAAAAGGATTGAGAAATATTTTGGGTATTCAACAAATATTTTACTGTACATACCATCCTTCATAAACAAATGCTAACATATGACAAATATTGGTTTAACATTTTTTTGTTTTCAGGAGAAATCGTTATTATCTGTCTTCTCTCAGCACTATCGTTCATTGTATGACTTCAAATTCAAAAAAGCGAAGTCTACATTAATTTTAAAGTATTTTATGAAAAACATTATTATTTCAAATTTTTGTATAAATTTTACAACAAAATAATTTCATTAACGTCTGCAGTAAAAAGATTGAGAAAAAGCAAGAAAAAATATTTATTTGTTACTTTATATATTAGTTACCCTCCTAAGGTTTGAAGAGAAGAGATGGGACCATTTAAATTCACATTTGTAAATATTAAAAGGCGAAAAAAATTAAAAAGTGCTGAAAGTTTAGAACTATGCTGTTTAAATATATTTTGATGAAATATAAGAGTTATGTACAGAACATATCAAGCAGCTAACGGAATAAACGAACTTGCATTAAATTAATAAAGATCGAAGTTCAAAAAATCTATTTGCCCTCATTTTCCGTAACATTTTCAAAGTTCCGATAAGCATGGCAGTAATAGGGCTTATACTTGCAAGCTTTAACCTAAACCTTTAACTAAAACCTTAACAAATATGTACTCTGGAATTGTAGTTCTACAATAAAACCAAATTTACAGAATATACAATCCTGATGATGTAATGTGTGTTAATCTTTTTAAAGAGCATCTTATCAATTAATAAATTTTAGATGTTTAAAGAACATGATAAAATATTGACTGGGGTTACCATAGAAATAAGCAGTATTATTAGTGTTATACATATAATGTAAGTCCAATGTTTACCCTGACAAGAATTAATGGAAACAACATAAAACAAAACAAAAAGAAAAAATTCGTTGCCTCAAACTCTAGTTTTCTAATTATTTTATCTTTTAAACCTGGTGGTGTAAACCTTTAATATTTTAAACTTTGGCTACTTAATTTAGTAGAATTTAAAGTTTGACATATCACAGGTCTTTGCCATCAGGTTGCAAAGATAAAAAAATTTAATTTGAGTTTTTGGTGAGTTTATGTAACTTATGATATATGTATTTAAATATGAACCTTTTGTACATTTGAAGTTTTCATTCGGTCTTCTGTCTTGAAATAAGCCTAAAAAATGCAACTCAATGATGTGTCAAAGAATTAAAATAAGTGTAAAGCTGCAGGGAAATATAAGCTTAAGAATTGAGACCGAATGAAATGCTCAAAGTTTTATTATTTTTTGGGTAACAGGAAAAAATTTGGACAACCTTTAATAAAATTGAAATTGTAAAAAAAAAATTATATTTATCTTACTCTCTGCTCAAATTTAGTGGTTTAAATGAATTTGAATCATAACTTTGATAATGATCAGCATTTAAATAAAAAAATAAAAATGGTTTTGCATACCCTTAATTTTGACAACCCCACTTAATTCGAAGAGTGTACCGTTATGCTTATACATTTTATTTATTACAATTATCCATATGTTTAAAATAAATTTTTATCAGAGAGATGTTTATTTATTCATCGTGCAAGTGTTATAAACAGTTTAGTTTTTTCGTTAGATAAAATCAAGAATTGAATATTCAAATTTATGATCCTACAAAACTCAGTTTGGTTTCCCTATATCTTTGCAAACCGATGTCGTAGATCTATGGTATTTAAAACTTTGAATTTTGTTAGATCAAATAGTTTAAGTTGGAAAAATTAAAGGTTTACACCATCAGTTTGTAAAAGCATAGTCGTTCTACAATATATATAAATAAATATATATATATATACGTTTTCTGGCCGGTTAAAGGTCACTGTAATCAAATCCAGAATACAGACTCTCACGAAAACATCGATGAGAGATTTTTCGATTACTAATAAAGCTTTTGTATTTGCTTTCTACTTCTAAAATGCACATAGTTAGTACTACAAAAAATGTAAGTGAGTTAGTGAGGTAAAACCAAAGGCCGAGGCTTTGCGACACTTTAAAGTCATTCCAGTCTTAACGTCTTTTTATATAGAGATGTTTTTGTCCCTAGGACATGATCAGGTTTTTACGATGGGATCTCGGAAATCTTGCTAAAGTTTGGTTGTAGGGTTTTTGTATTGATCTATACCAGGGGTTGTAATCTGGCAGCACATTCATTCTGAGAAGAGGACTGACAAGATTCCAGCTGCCTAAGGCCTGAGAATAGTAGAGTGCAGGAATTCTTCTGATAAACTGGAATGAGGCCCAGGTGCCATACAGATCCCACTCATTGCTCCCAATCATTTGTAAGCCCGGATTGGAAACCCCCAGGTACCTATAGCTGGAAACCATAGACTCTCCTTGCTTGTCAACCTTTCCTCTCGTCATCATTATTCACTTGGATCATTCCATTTAAAGCTTCTTTCTTTTTGCGAGAGTTGTTGACAGCCGTCCTTCTGTCTTCCTGCTTCCGTCAGGTGGTCATAACTGCTTAACCAGATGTCAGCTTCAGATGATTTTGAAACCACAGCTTTGTGAGGAGTGCGGGAATCAAACCCGGGAACACCAGTCTGGACACCAATCAAGTTACTGGCTGCGGACAAGTGTGTTTAACTTCAGTGATCTATTTAGCCACCCCACCCCTCAAACAACCACTGTAAGTGTTTTATTTTTTAAAGGAAATAGCTTTACTTCCAGTTATTTATAAAAAAAAACTTGAATTGTGAACTTTTTGATAATACTTTGTTTTAAATGTTAAAATAGAAAATATATTGAAAAAATGAATTATATAAAAACTAAAGTTTGACACTGTATCGATCGATTCATTTTTCCTAGAATAATCAAATATAACTTCAGTGGAAACCAAACTAATAAAAACTTCCAGGGGCCCGGGGTCAATTCTTCAGTATTCATTACATCAGAGTATACAATTTCATAGGCTTTGTGGCGCTTCGCACCCTTCTTTAATGCTGCTGTTTATATTTTCAAGCGTTTTCACTTCGTGATTTTTGAACAATAATACAACGAGCATTTGTAGAATATCCTGTTTTTTATTGGTGAAATCAAAAATATACAATTTTGGGGAATTTTCACTCACTCACTTAAAAATCGATTTAAACTTTGACTTCAAAAAAAGGAAAAGTGAGTTAGTGCGGTATATATCAAATCTCAATGTGTTGCAAAACTTCAAATTCGATCCAGTCTTAAAAATTGAACCAATTTTTCAAAGCAGTCTGAATCCATTGTATATATGAGTTTTTTTTATTACGATCACTTATCAGTGTTCAAACTGATCGTCATATAAAACCTGAAAATGAAACTTTTGTATCTTAAATCTTAGTCTTTAGCCCGCTCAGACGACTCCTTTACGGGTCGACCATAGACGCTAAATGTCTCTTTGAATCATATTATTGAAAAGTTAAGACTATGAATATCGAGTTCAGTCAATACAAATTACCGTACAATACAAAAAAAACAAGAAAAGTTTTACACAAAAATAAAAAAAATATTAAGATTTTTTTATTAAAACATATTTTTTTTGACATTTAACGATAATTCTGTTTGGAATCGATGAATCATTCAATCATACAGAAGGGAATAAATTTTTCCATAACAGATATAAACTTTTGTAACAATCATTAATTTTCTTACAAAGTGAACAGTTAACCTTAAACAAAAATGTAAAATAAAAATTATAAAATCTGAAACACGACAATATAAAGTTCTAATTTTCTTGAACGGCCAATTTAAAAAAATGAATATTTACGTTTTTTGAAATTTCTTTTTTGCACATATTGAGACAGTATGCGTGATTTTAAGTGATCCTCCATGCAAAGTTGGCTATGCCCAATTTACAACGGTACCCTTGAAACCTTATATGCAAAAATGAGTATTTAACTTTTGCATAGAAACCGCAAATGAAAATAAACGTTTATTAAAAAACAAAAACGTGGATATCTTATTCATACTAGGATCTCTTGAAATTAAACGTACAGTCCCTTTCAGATAACAATTTTAAAATATTCCTCCTTTTCGGGTTTCCTAAAAATTTTTAATAAAAAATCTTATTTCCTGCCATGGACGGCGGTCTAGGGTTTATCTATGAATAAATTAATCTATTTCGTAGTAAACCAATTCTAAAAATTGCTTTGTAGAGTATTTAATTATGTATTTAATTGAATGAACTCTGAACAGTTGACACCAATCCTCGTGTATTAGAATAAAAAATCTATACATACACAAGTGCATAAAATATGATATATCTAACCCATAAATAAAACTATAAAACGTAGAACGTATTTTTATCCAAAAATCTTACCTTTTATGAAATTGCCAAATATTTTTCTTAAATCTTATCATAGCCTCAGAGAACACTTAACTTTGAAAACAAAAGAAACCACCAAACAAATTGAAAATTTTACTTATTTATGTTTGAGAAAGATTTAGGTCTCATTTGATCTTAGATTTATTTTGAATCTCATAGAATCCATTTTTATAAAGAAAAAATAATAAAATTAGTTCAAATAGTTAGCGAAAAAAAAATAATGTCAATAATGACAGCTTTGCACGTAAGCAACTAGTCTCCTTCTCTGTATGATTAGAATCTGTGTTTACCTAACTGCTCCTCTTTCAACATACCAACTGTGATGGTTAAAACTTTTTATTGAACTTTTCACAAACTGATGATAAAAACAGTGTAATTCGACTAAGTAAATTCAAGTTCTAAATATTTCATGTTCCTGTTGGTTAGAATGTTTAAAATGATTAAATATGATATTTGGGAAATATTGTTTCCATTTGGGCAAACATACTTTTATATGCAGCACTCATGCATAATAATTTTACAAGGTGGTAACAGGAGTTTGTAAAATTTCATCAAACAATTGAGAAAAAAATTGTTGGTTTTGAATTTGGGACTTTACCAATATTCAAAGAAACTAATTACTCCCCTCAAACTAAAATTTCATAATCCTGTTATGTTTGCAACCTGATGTCGTAGACTTTAAATATTTTAAGACTATGAATTCTGCTAGATTAAAATAGTCAAGGTTTGAAATATTTAAGGTTTACATCAACCATGGATGAAAAGATATAGGAACTAGAGATATAGGAACTAGAGATATAGGAACTAGAGATATAGGAACTAGAGATATAGGAACTAGAAATTAGACTTTAAAGGGAGTAATCAGTTTTTATCCATCCTATTCAATGTGGTTAAAAAATACCAAAATAAAACATCAAGGACTGAACTGAAAAAAAGATAACTTAGAATATTAAAATGTTATAATTTATCATTGATAAATCGCTAGATCGTGAGTATCTTAAACCTAAAAGCTCCCCAGCTAGTTCTGTTTTTAATTAAAAAAATAATTTAAATCTTTTTATTTTCAAAGTTATCCATATTCTTTATTGACTATAGCAAATAAACGCAAAAAAACGCTGCCACAAAATCGATCAATACCCTTCCTTTAAAATGCACATCCATATATGTTCATGGTATTATTTTGTAGTTCTATTATAGGACTAACTATATTATGTATTGTGCCTGGTATAGCAGTTATTACTACTCCCCTGGGTATACTATCTATACTAGACCCTCTAATCTTCATGTCATAGGATTATATTAACCTTTATATGGACCAGGAAACTTTAAGGGGTAAATATCAAAATATAGATTTTAGTAAAAAAATTCTTTGAAATTGTTGTATAGGTT